GGAAAATCCCAACAGTCTCCTTTACCATATGGTGGTGATTCGTTTCCTTTGTAAGTCAGTGCTGTCCTTGGATCAAGCCTGAAGTGCAGTTACAAATACTACAGGATGAGGCAAGTGAAGTCTAACTTGAATATGGGCGCCTCAGGAGGCAGACAGTATGTGGCTGCAGCATTCCTTTCAGCATTCTGGTCAGCATCTCTGCTCACCTTTGCAAAACTTATTTAATCTTTATTTGTAAGTTCCTTGTTTTCACTATTTTAAGATATCAGTGTGTGCAACCTCACAAAATATTGAACTACTCCTTTTGTTGTTTTGGTTTGGGTTTTTTTGCTGGTGTTTTTTTGACTTGTGAAAGTTGCAGATTTTTCTTTGGGAATTACAGTAAGTTACAGCCTTTGTCTAAAGTTGGCAAGTGAGTGGGTGTAGAATGAGGACGGCAAGCCTGGTCTTAGTATTTGCTAAAACAGAGCTGGCATCAGACAAGAGTAACTTAAGCCTTGACTTTGCATTGTATCTAACAGGTATATATGTTTTTTCCCTCTGTGAAATTCCTTCTCCTTAGTCATGAGCTAATCATCTCTAAAGCAATAGGTCTTACACTGTCAACACATCATCAGCCCACAAGAAGCATGTTAACTTTGAAATTGGAACACCAGCCAACAAAGCTTTATAAGCATCAGCTAATAAGAACACTTGATAACAATTTACTTTTTACGGCAAACAGCCAACTAAATGTGCTCCTTCTTGTTTTCTGGGTGCTTTAAAATACCATTCTAGGACTTTGGCCGAGCATCGAACAAATTTCATTTTCTTCCTTATTTGTACATGCAGTTCGTCAAATAGACACGCGCTGATTTAACATGAGAAGCCACATAGCATGTGCTTTGGTTTAGCAGAAGCCATTACACGTGTCTGAAAGACTGGAGTTGTCAATCTCTTCACACTAATACCTTAACAACACTTGTTTATTTTTGCATTTCATGTACAAACACTGTGGAATCGTGGTGCCTGGCAATACTTCTATTGATAACAAGTGCAAAAAAGCATAGAAAGAGCACAAGAATATGGCTTAATTATTGCATCTTGCCAGCTGGGATAAAAAACAAGGGACATACAGAAGAAAAAGCAATACAGAGAATTCTTTATCATAGAGAACAGGTAAGAAGGGACAATCATATACAGGCATCACAGCCCACGTTGTACTTTCAACTTTTTTTTTTTTTTTTCCTATTGCCTATATATATAAAGGACTTTGAACCTGTGAATGTAAAACTGGCAACGCATTCAGTTCTGCTGAGTTCAGTCCCCCCACATTCTATCAGCTACACTTCAGTCCTCACTCATACAGTGATCAAACCACAGTCTTTTTTCTCTCCTGTTTTACAACTCTTAACAAAGATTGACTGCATTTTATATATGTTCTAATACATTTCTCTGCTTTGTCCTTCGCCTTGGTGTAACACTGTCATATGATGCTCTCCAGACTTTCCATTCTCACCTTCTCCTAAGTTGGGTTCACTGAAAATTACCAGAAAATCAAAACAGAGCTATTTCTCATTCACATTATGAAGAAATAATACATATATATATATTTATTTTTTTTTCCTACAGGCTACAGCACGTTCTCTGAGAGCCTTTATTTTTCCTGCAGCAGAATCTGTACTGATGCAGGGAACACCTGGGAAAGCAGTTGAGCACTATTTTTATTCATGAGGTTTCTCAAAAAAGGGAATAAATATCTAGAAATTGGCTAGAAGCCTTGCTGTGAAGCTCCCTGAGAGATCCAAGGAAAGTCATGCATTCAGACTCCCTTCCTTCATTTAAAACGTCTCAAATGTTTTCCCTCTAGATCACAGGACAGGATCTATTTTTGGAGATATTTCAGAACAATTCTGGGACACACTGACTGCCAAGAGAAGAATTACCATCACTCTGACCGATACAACACTGCTCTTAGGACAGCTTTACATAGAGAACAGATACCAGCTGGAATCAGGGAAAGGACAGAAAGGGAGAGGAATGAGCCAAAATACCAGGCGAAGGAACTTGGTCAAAATGCATTTGTTAAATGACTCTTTTGACCTTAGATCGAAGTTTGTGTTTATTCTTTTCATTTCAAGTAAAAAGGTGTAACTTTGCAACAGAATCCCAAAACGCTCATAAAGGATATTGTTGATGCTAAATTTATATCAATTCAAGGATTACATACTAGGCAGGCTCATTACACAGATCATCAAGGGCTACTAAAGAGCACATCTGGCTCAGGGTATCTTACCTCCCCATGAACCAAAAATAGAAGAGCTTGGGAAAGGGTTCAGGGAGGATATCATATACTTCCTCAGTTCTTCACTAAATATCCGCATATGAGCATCGGTTCTGGCCCTCCCCTGAACACAGGCTAAAACATCCCCTGCTCTCTCCCCTCCAAAGAGGAGAGTATAGAGAAAGGAATTTTAAAAACAGAAACAAAATGAACAAATGAACTGATAATTCCAATTTTCAGAGGGGGAAAAAAAAAAAAAAGGCATGGGGTGATGGTGAGAACAGAAAATAAAAGAAAAAGCAACAACAACAACAATAAAAAGACAAAAGTCCTTCCAAGAGACCTAGTGGGGAGACCTCACAAATGTCTATTGTTTATTGAAGGCATTCAAGGAAGTAGTAAATACATCCCAGTGGTGTTCCCCTTTAATACAGGAAGAAGTAGAAGAACACAAGCTGCAAGGCTGTCCCCTCCCCTCTTTGAGGGACAATTTTGACTTGCCAAAAAAATCAGGTTGAGACTTAGACAACCTCTTTTAATTTCAGCTTCATGGTTTTCACCCTCTTAGGAGGCAGCAAAGTCTGAATATCAAACAGAACTCCAGCCTGAGCAGTCCTAACAAGCTTGCTCTGCTGTTATGTATGGCCAGCTGCAGGTCTCACATTTCCTTCTATCCTTGCAACAGGCATGTTTATCACCATTACTGTAAACAAGCAGACAGGCTCCATGGCTCCCACTAACTCGATGCAACTGCCTCCGTGGAGCAGGTAGAATCAAAGAACTGCTCAGGTTGGAAAAGATCTTAAAGATCATCGAATCCAACTACAATCTAACCATACTATCCTAACTCTAACAACCTCCACTAAATCATGTCCCTGAGCACCACAACTAGATGGTTTTTAAACACATCCAGGGATGGTGACTCAACCACCACCCTGGGGAGCCTATTCCAGTGCTTAACAACCCTTTCTGTAAAGAAGTGTTTCCTGATATCCAACCTAAACTTGAGGCCATTTCCCCTCATCCTGTCACCTGTCACCAGTGAGAAGAGACCAACTCCGCTGTACAACACACACAGCCAGAGGATGTCCAAAACTACTCCTTGCTATCCACAGCCAGACCCTGCAGCTCTTCAAAGATAGTGCACTGAGGGATGTGGTTAGTGGGCATGGTGGTGATGGGCTGATGGTTGGACTAGATGATCTTAGAAGTCTCTTCCAATCTTAATGATTCTATGATTTTCTGGTTCTGGGGGAGACTGGAGCTTCTACAGTGAGCCAGCACAGCTGTTCCTGTAACATTCAGTAGATTTAAGAAGCAGCACCAAATAATCCTGACCGATTCATTAAGCAGAAGAGTTAGAAGAAAATTGAAGGAGCATCAAAAAAAAGTTTTAAGAAAGGGTTAATTAATTCTTCTTCTACATGCTTCTCCGGGAAAATATGCGGTACTGAGAACCAAACAAGCTGCTGGCATACTTTTTTGGAGGAGGCAGCGTTTGCGCTTTCTCTGCAGCCCACAGACACGCGGTTTGAAAGCAAAGCTGGTCACGAGGTGGCGCTGCTTCTCGGGGCCGCGCTCGGCTACACCGCCATCCTCCCATCACCAGCCCTGCTACCTCTAACTCGAGGGGAGGCCTGATGGCGGCTGCAGCTCCTCGCAGGGAGCGGAGGGGCAGCGCTGAGCTCTGCTCTGTGTGACAACGACAGGGCCCGAGGGAGCGGCATGGAGCTGTGTGAGGGGAGGGTATCTGGGGTTGAGGACAGGTGCTGCATGGAACGGGCTGCACAGGGCCCTGAGTGCCGGAGTTCAAGGAGTGTTTGGACAAATCCAGTACAGAGCAGTACATTTGCAACTGGTTCAACTTAACCGATGGCAGGATTTTAGATCAAGATCTGAAATAACTACCTTCATAATCAAATTTCAACACACAGTTCAGTTGTTCAGGATTGTCCCAGATTACTTTAATAAGTCTGGTATTATCTTAGCGTCTCTACCTCTTTTCTGCCCACTTGCACTTTGCATATAATTACCGTGAAACTATGAGCCATACGTGGTGAGCAAAGGGCATTTTTTCCACAATCGTGTTCTTGATTCAACAAAGTTGAGTACCACTGCATCTTCATGCTAGTTTTGGAAAAGGAATGTTAGAATTCGCCAGGGAAGTAGTCTTAGTAATTAACTAGGTAACTTCTCAGACCTCATGACCTTAGCTCTTCTGAGAAGGAGTAAAAATTTGGGCCTTCCAGCAATTAATGTCTCTGCCTCCAAATCTGGAACCATAGCTTCCAGAGGATGCATTACAGAATCACAGAATTGTTAGAGTTGGAAGGGATCCTTTAAGGCCACCCAGTCCAACTGCCCTGCAGTGAACAGGGACACCTACAGCTGCATCAGATTGCTCAGAGCCCCTCCAGCCTGACCTTGAACGCTTCCAGGGATGGGGCATCCACCACCTCTCTGGGCAACCTGTTCCAGTGCCTCACCAACCTTATTGTTAAAAACTTCTTTCTTATATCCAATCTAAATCTCCTGTTTTAGTTGGAAACCATTCCCCCTCGTCCTCTCACAACAGACCCTGGCAAAGAGCACGTCACCTTCTTTCTCATAGCCCCGTTTAGGTATTAACTTCAACATCTACAGTGCCCAAACTTAACCCATCGACATTAGGTGCAATTGGAAACTGCAGAGAAACCTGTTCATCTTATTTTTTTTCCCCCTTTTCATTTTTACTTACCATTTTACTCAGGCACTGGCTGTATACCGGTGAAGCTGACAGCAGTAGGAAAAGGGATAAAGGAGAGGCAAGCTGACAGCACAGCTCTCCAAACTGACAATATTTCAGTTTTTTATGTCTTTAAACAACGATATTACAGAGTCCAAGCGACTGCATGGACCTCAACCCCGCAGAATGTGCCTAAGCACCCTGCTTAGGAAGGTTTAAAAACCAAAGGAGCACCTGAACCAGAGAAGCAGCTCACTCAGGGACTAGAGGTGAATTTTGAAGCCCTCAGGGTGAGCCGGCACACCAGCACGCCGGCACACCAGCACGCAGGCACACCAGCACGCAGGCACGACGCACCCCCCACAGCCACCTCCTGCCCCGGCCGCCCCCACCCTGGAACGGCGGCGCCCCGCCCCGGCTGCACCACCGCGCCGCTCCCGGGGGGGAACGGGAGGCTGCGGAGCCGCCCCGAGGCGGCCGTCCCAGTGTCTGCGATCGCTCCGGCAACCCTGCTGCTCCGCGCTCTCCCCTGGCGGCCCCACAGCCCCTCCCCTGGCCGCCCCGCCCCGGTCCCGGCCCGCCGCCCTCTTCCACCCACCGCCGGGAGGGCGGTGGTTTCTCCAGGAAGCGCCTGAGCTGCTGCCGCTTCCTCCACTTGCCGTCGCACCGAGGCTCCGCGAAGGCGCTGAGGTGAGGCTGGGGATGGGGGGCGGCCGCTGAGGCAGCTGCGGTGTGAGGCGGCGGAAGTATCGCAACTGCTGCTGTCTGCAGAACAGCCTGCACCATTTCTGTAACGTCGCAAAATGGGGGGGTTGTTTGCTTTTTTTTTTTTTAAATAATAGAAGGCAAGGCAAAGACCCGCTGTTATATAGAACAGTAATCCTTGCTGCTGTCAGGTGCCACGCGTTGGCACTTCAGACTTTGCTCAGGTGAACTGAGCTCGAGTTCTCTTTCCCCTGCTCTCGAATATTACACATATCCATAGAGTTATTTCGTGAGCTCAGCAACAGCTTTCTGAACCTCACTTTTCTCGTTTAGGGTTGAGGCCGGAGTTCCATTCTTGTAGACAGATCTAAGGAGGGAATCCAGACAAAAGCTGTTCCTTCTCAGAGTGAAAGGTACGTGCAACTTTATATGCTGGTGACTTTTTTCTTTGTTTTGGTCTGTCCCGTCCTATTTCCTGCTTCTCTTTTGCCCTTCTTCGTTAAGGCAATATGTTCTGATGAGAGGAAGCAGAAGGGCGGTAGAGGTGCTTTCTGACTCTGAAAGCCTAAAACTTAGTACGTTCTTCTCAAGTCCTAACTCTGGTCTTATTCTATTTACTTTTCTCTCAGTATCCCAAAATCAACATGTCTAGCAAAAAAGCAAAGACGAAGACCACCAAGAAGCGCCCTCAGCGCGCCACGTCCAATGTATTTGCCATGTTTGATCAGTCCCAGATTCAGGAATTCAAGGAAGCCTTCAACATGATTGATCAGAACAGGGATGGCTTCATTGACAAGGAGGACCTGCACGACATGCTTGCCTCCCTCGGTAATGTCTCTCTTCTGTTTACAGCTGCCAAACGTATTTGTGCTATTGTGATTAAAACGCTGAGTTTGGGATGGCTTATGAGAGGTGTCCCACTTTGTATTACAATATTCAGGTGACTTTTATCCATTTTTTTATTTTAGTTTAAAAGCTAAAGCAGGAATTGTTTTGTTTGTAGGAAAGAACCCAACAGATGAATACCTGGATGCCATGATGAACGAGGCTCCAGGCCCCATCAACTTCACAATGTTCCTCACAATGTTTGGTGAGAAGCTCAACGGCACTGATCCAGAAGATGTCATCAGGAATGCTTTTGCTTGCTTTGACGAAGAAGCAACAGGTATGTGGGCGAAACTCAACTGCTTTGGGGTATTTGTATTGATCGTATGGGACGTTTCTGTGGCATTTAAAAGGAGTAGATGTGAAACCAAAATGCCACTGAGTTTGTCCTTCCCCTGTGGTAGGCTTGAGATATATATGAATATGTGATGTATTCAATATTTGAAGATAGGTGATCCAGAGTATGCAAACCTTTTCTTCTGACTCTTCATCTTGTCTAGCGTGTCTTAGGCTATGATAACAAATAGCCTATGTCATGCCCTCACACTCAGCTCAGTTGTTTCAAGGTAGCAGGAAGGACTGTAGTGATTTACAGATATAATCAGGGTGGGGTCTAGAAGACAGAAATGGCATTGAATAGACTGGCATAATGAGGGAGGAGGAAGAATGAAATGCAGAGTTCACTTCTACTGTATCAAGCTTTCAAGGTTGTGTCTGTAATCATGAAGTTAGAGTTTATGCTTTTATTTATTTATTAATACAGGAAAACATTCTGGAGAACTGTGTAGCAGGCAGAGATGAATCCTAAGGTTATTCTACGGAAACGCAATATCAGGGCTTTGACACGTTGTGAACCTGCCATACCAGTGTACACAGTAATCACATAGCCTCTGCACTATAGATAGCACTGCACCTATTACTTTTCTCACAGTGGTCTACCACAGTGCTGCCATCTAATTTGTCGATGTGCACTCTGAACCTTTCAAAGGATATTAGTCCGTTTCAAGCAGCTATTTTCTGTCTGTGTATTTTTAGCACCTTTTGCCTTTTCAAAGTGCTTTCCCTTCCTGTTGGGATGTAGGTAAACAGGCTTTCTGTTGGTAAAGGCTTTTCAAATGTTAATTGACTTCCTCCCTCTCAAGGGAAATCTCTTTACCATCTCCTGGAGAAGGAAGTCTTTTTTAGTCGGTTATTTTCTCTCCACAGGTAGTCTGACTCACTGTGCTGCAAGGCTTTTTTTGTGTGCACCAGAACATGAGCCTGTGAATTAGGATATAAAGACAGTGACAGAGCTACCAGTTCTTTTGAACAGTCACTTTCTGTGTCTACATAGATAGTACGTTATTAGGTCAGGCCCCCATGTTCTGATAAGATTGAATTTTGTCATCTTTAAACTCAATGATGAACCTCTTAGTCTAGTCCTAGGATAATGTGAAGGTAATGATTCCACAGTATTTTTTCTGCCTTATGCCATGCTCACACTTTCACCGGGAAACATGTTAAATATCTATGCTGTCCTATTTATCAACAGTAATCAAGATGCAGTCTTCAAAATAACATGCATTCTACATTACTTTTTATTTTTGCTCCTTATTCATTTTATCCTCAGGTTTAGCTCTTCCAGCTATGTTGAACCCTTGTGCTTTTATTTTCTTTTTATTTTTCCTTCTTTCAATTTTAATCATCTCCATGTGTCTGTGTTATGTGCCTGATTTCCTATTCTACATCAGTGCAGTTCTTCTGAGGCAGAATGATACAAATCAGACCCACTTGATGAAGATAAAGGAGCTGGACTTGGTTTTATTTACTTTTCCTATATTTTCAATGTTGCTGTTGATATTACTTCAGCATTACTGTCCCATAAAACAGTAGTACCATGAAATTAGCATAAAGGCTTATATCTGTCTTCATTTAGTATAACTTTTTTTCTGCTCTTTGATCCTGCTCTGTCATCTGTTTTGTGCTGTCTGCCAAACGTTAAATCTTGCATTTTGCTTCACTAATTAGCTTACTCCCTGTCTATACTGAAACTGTGCGGGAGCTTGTTTTAGGGGGAGTGGGACAACTATTTACTTTATGATTCTGTGCTGCTAAAACTTTTAGTTTATGCTCTTCTGGTAACCCAGTGCGGTGTTTCAACATCTAACCTACTCAGACAAGAGCAATTAAGTCCTTGAGGCTAAACTTGCTGCACCAAAGGCCTTGCATTCTTTGTATACTAATCCTTATGTCATCTCTCATCACTGTTTGGTCTCTGTGGTGCTGTTGAAGTACAAAGACTTAATGCCTTTAGCTTTTTTGTTGTTTGTTCTTTTTCCCCTTTCTTTACTCACACCTGCAAAGAGACAACTGCAAAATCTGACCCACTAATTGAACATTCTCCTCCTGGTTTTAAAGGAGAACATTGTTGTTAGCCTTCTTCATTTGGATTCATTAATCAAGGGCTGGTCTACCTATGCTAGGATGATGCTGTTTTAACATATTTAACATGTGTTGTAATGTGTTTGTGTTGTTTTTTTCCTGTGCTGCTTCCCCACGGCACGGACCAGCCTCAAGGCAATTTATCATGCTCACTGACTGCCTTTTGATTCCCTGACTCCCTATTTGGTTTGCTCTCTAAAGAACTTTGTTTGCTTAAGTTTTATGACTCTGTTTCCAAAGCAGAATTTATTTTTATCACATCCCAACTGATTCTAAATAAGTCCTTGTTGGTGTCTACTAATGATTTCCAACAGTACTGCCTAGTTTACTTTTTCTTGGTATATTCCTCTATCTCTGTTCTTTTACTGATTTGACAAGGCATGGGAGGTCTCATTTCTGCTCCTACCTCTCCATGGTACACATTCTTCCTCTTTCCTAGATTAATTTACTCAATCCTGCCTTAAAGTCTGTTCTGTTATAAACTCCTTCCTTGGACGCTTGCCTGCAGCTCGCTGATCCACACGTCAGCTCCAGTGACATCATCACAGAATGGCCTGGGTTGAAAAGGTCCATAATGCTCATGCGACACTGAAGAGCCAACCAGTGGTTGTTTGGTCCCCACGGGAAACTAGTTAATAAAGGATGCACGAATCTATCTAAGTCCATCAAGAAAAAATATTATTCAGTTAAAAGAATTGGGCTGTCTTAATGTTCACTGCACTGCTTTCGAAGACCTGCTGGAGATAACTTCCATTTTGTGTTTCTCTTTACATTGCATTCTAGGGTTCATTCAAGAAGACTACCTGCGGGAGCTGCTGACCACGATGGGAGACAGGTTCACAGATGAAGAGGTAGATGAGCTCTACAGAGAGGCACCAATTGACAAAAAGGGCAATTTCAACTACATTGAATTTACACGCATCCTTAAACATGGAGCAAAAGACAAGGATGACTGAGCAAATCCTTGAACACCTGTAGCTTTTATTTCCCCCCCCCCTTTTTTTTTTCCTTTCTTTCCCTTCAGATTCTTTCTTTTTTCTTGTTGGGACCCTTTGCATACATTTTTGGCATTTCTGCTTTTGCCTCTGAAGACTGGGGCTGCTCAGGCACGCCTGCGCTTTTGCATTAAGACTGAAAATGTGTAGGGAGAGAGGATGGCTTAGAGTGACAGAGGTTTAAGAACAAAGATTTGGGGTGGGGAGGCACTTAAAAGTGTCAGTGTTACTCATTCTTACTAGATTTTTGCAACTTATGGTAACTTTTTCAATAAAACACCGCTTTATTAAATACGTCATGAAACAGTTTCATACTAGAGGT